TGTTAAGCAGCGGTGGCGGTAGGCATATATTTTTGTGAGTCATCATGACTCAGGTAGTTTCAAAAAAGTGAGTCACAAGAAAAAAAGTTGAGTCAAAGCTATAAAAGTGTTTTTCTTGAGTAAAAATGCATACAAAATGTAGAAACCACATACAAAATCTATTTTTTGATTTTGTTCATACCTTTTATTGTACTCTTATAGCACATTAACAACTAACAATTAATTAATTAGGCAATTGCAAGAAAAATGTCACTACAGTTGGGGACAAAAATAAATGACAGGTCGATTTTCGATCACCATTTCCTAATTATGGTGGTCTGAAAGCCCATAATTTCCAATATTGTCTAGATGTATATCCCTTAAAATTTGTATATTTTACATTTTGTATAATCACATCCACTGATGTATGGCCTCTTGTAAATTCTCTTATTTTTAACATGGGAAATCCTCACTTCAGCAAATCCACCTGTCATTTATTTATGTCCCCAACTGTATTAAAAATCTGATTATCTGGTCCAGCGAGTCATGGGTGTGAATGGAGTGGGAGAGGAGTTTCTCCCTGTGTGGAGTTACACAAATTGGGGTCAAAGCGTTTCATGTTGAAATTCAACATTTTTGCAATCATTCCAAAGTCTAAAACGGCAATATAAGTCCGACCACAATACTGGGCATCATTTAAATTGAATACGGTAGAATCTTGTAATTATAGCTGATCAAATGAAACCGAAAGTAATTTGTTTTCATACCTAATTTATCATCATTACCCCCCCTTAATGTGCGATCGACTGGATTTTCATATGCCCATTATCTATCTTCATAGGATCAGCTTCAGATCTAGTGAATCGAAGATCTTAACTTGAGGGAGTTAATTGAAAATACTTGGTGAAAACTTACGATAGATCGGTCACTGTGAGCACCATTGATAAACCTACTGCGCATTACATCTGCGCATGCTGATGAAGGGGACGGCTCAAGGAAACTTGCTAACTTAGCGAAGGAATTTTGCGAACTTGCGAAGGAAACTAAAGGTTCGTAAATCTAGCGTGTGAACATTCAAGGGAAGATTTTATGCGGTAATTTAGATAAATATACGATCACTAAAATCCTTAGAAGGGAGTATGAAATTAATAAATTATTGTTCAATGTTATGTTCGTTTTATTGCATTTTTGATACGCCCCCTAGCAACGTGCTTCACGAGATAAACAAATCGAGGGATCGATCAATGTTTTCAAGTTTGTCATTGAATCTGAATCACAGGGCTTTAAAAATTATATGAAATACCGAAATGAGAAAATGATCGGTAGGAAGGAGGCTCGATTGCGCTGAACGAAATGTTAGATTTCCGGAATTAGCAAAATTATAAATTTGATCAATCACGTATTTTCACGTATAGGGATCAATTTAACCAAGTACCAAGCGGGGATTTTGCATGTGAAACAAACGTGCGTCAGAAAGACTCGGTAGACAATGAATATTTGCGTCAGAGTTGCAAAAATGTGAGTAAAAAACGTAAAAAATTGCGTTAACGCCACCTCTGACTGTTAAGCCAAATATTGACCTGATAGCTCAGAAAAAATATAAATTTTCGAATTTTCTCTCTACAGTCCTTGTTGCCCCTTTAATTCCTGTAATAGGTCTTTACAGTATAATATTTTTAAATTTTGTGAAATTTTTTATCCAAATTTTTGACAATTTGTTTTATGTTTTTTGTAACACCAAGCCAGAATTAAATGTGCATTAAATCGCCTCACTTGTTTTCAGGTCACAACATAATACCTCATCAGATATCAAGCAAATGAACAGATGTCAGGAATCTCCAGAAATGAAGAAGAAAAATATTCGCAGTATTGTCCTCAATACACATTGGATGCTTGTGGATAAAAACAAAATATCATCTATATGTAAGATTTGGACTACAGAACAACATAATTTAAGAAGAACATCTAACTTTGCCATGAACATAATTTAAGAGGAACATCAAACTGTGCCATGACCTGGGGCCATGACTGACTTATTGTTGTTGCAAAGGAGAGAGTGTAGAGTGTTTGGAGCAAATTGACAGATAATAAATCCACATTTATTGAAAGAAGAACTCTATGGAATAATCTTTGTTTTCCTTGAACAAGTATGTGTAATATGCATTACAGGGGCGGATCTGGGAACCCACAAGGGGGGTCCAAATTTCAGGTCTTAGAAAAAAAATTCCCCGCTTTGCGTAAAAAAATTTTGGCCCCTTAAAACCCAAAAGTGGGCCCAAATTTTGAGGCCCATTTTCTTCAAACATTGACCTGAAATTAAAAAATAAGGCCCAGTAATGACCAAAAAGGCCCAATTTTTGGGGCTTTAAGGCCTTTTTAAGCCAAAAATTTTTTTGGGCCCAATTTTTTTTCTGGGCCCTCAGACCCCCCCCCCCCAGATCCGCCAGTGCATTATGCAACAGAAATATATTCTAGAATAAAAAAAATTAACTTAAAGATTGTGTGTTGCTAGATCTGATTCATTCTTTACAACAAGTGATCTTTGGTATAGACATTTTATACTTAGAAATCTCACTGTGAAAGATATTGTATCTTGATTTTATTGACTATGTCTACAATGCAGTATTGCCTCCGACAAAATATCTTTCACATTATGATTCAGCAGAGCCTTTAACTGAACCAACTCTAGAAGGTGTGATCACAAGTCTAGTATCAGTTGTATGAATAATGGAATAAAGGGTTTGCTAAATAGCTTTAAAATTTCATTGAAGTCTTATTTTGATATTTTCAAAATGATCTGCTTCCCTTAAAGACCATTTTTGAAATCGGAATTCTGTGTGAATTTTCTTTTAAAACACTTATTAACTTTTATTCAAATTTCCAGGATTTTCTTTTTTTTAAAGAGGTCATACTTCATCCCCATTGACACAGTCAAAAGTTATTTACTCTTGAGCTTCTCAAATGTTCATGTTAAATCAGAAAACACATGTCAACAAGATCGTTACAGTATTCTATACCAGGAACATGCTATGAATTAAATTGAAAAAGGCAACTTACTTAATAAAGCAAGAAATTGAATGACTTTTTGCCACTTGTCTATATTAACAATATATATTAACTATATTTTGTTTTGGTCTGAATACTGACAAGGAGCGATGGGGCCAAGGTAATCGGTTATGCAATTTATGTGATACGAATGTCAAGGACTCTATCCAGCATCGTATGTTTGTATGTCCTCATTTTAACAATGAAAGAACTAACTTCTTTCTGAACGTGATAAACTCCTGTAATGAACAACTGTCATCTAGCCTTATTTCTGCTAATATTCCAATTAAAATATGCTTGACCATGGGTGATAAAGCTTTCATTGACTGGGGAAATGAACAAGGTCATATTTTAGATCAATGTGTAAAGAAATATCTGAAAGCAATTTATATTCCCTATAATAAGGATTGATGTATTTTAGTGACATTATGTATTTTAATTTTTGACTGTAATTGTATGCATGTTTGTATGTGGATGCACCACATTTTCAATGTGTGTGCCACTGTTTTAAAAGTGATTCCAATAAATAAATAAAATAAAAAAAATATTTTATGAATAATATTCTGGCCCTACCAATACATGTGCTGCGATCTGTTTATCCATCTATATGTAGAATGGTGACAGTTCATTCTTTATTATTATCATTTAAGTAGGCCTATGGTTAAAATATAATTAAGACTTAAAAGATTAAGATAAGAATTAATGACTGGATATTTTCTCAATAAAATTATCTCTTCCAACCTGGGATGAAGTAGAGATTCTCATTTTCACCATTCAAACCAAAATTGGTCAAAATAGGCCAATTTTTCATGATTATTCCTGTTTCAAGTGGGTGCAAATGGATTTTCAGGTGGGTGCAAGCCTATTTTCAAAATTATCAAATTCAAAGGAAAAATGTTAGCTCATCAAACATTCTTGTTTTTCAGTTACTAAATAACAGAGTACAATGAGATATATGTGACAAGATAAAAATCAAATCAACCTCTTCTATTTAAAGCTAAAACATTCTTGTGACTTACACTCCCCATCAAATGTTTGGCAACTCTAACAGCCTAGTAGGAATACTATACATAGTACTGGTATATGTTAAAAACCTTTTTATGTTTAAATCGTTATTTGCACCACTTGTAATGAATCTTACTGAATAGGCTAGATATACCAAAATCTAATTTTTCTTCATTTATAATCCACCATTTATCATTGATTTAGCCTACATGGGAATGCCAATTTCAACCTATTGTAATTAAGAATTTGGAAGATTAAGTTACATATCTCCACATTTATTCAAATTGTTTTGATGGCAGGTTATGTCAAGGAATCCACTATACATGTAAACTGGCTAATGGGGACCTAAGGTAGCCAAACTTTTGGAGGGGAGTGTACGTGTATAAGGTGGGAATAAATCACAAATCGGTTAAAAAATTGGAAACCAGCATAAACTCATACAGATTTGTAATAAGTAACATCCATTGATATTTTCTTTTCATTCCACAGACTGAAGAAACCGATGCATCCATTTAGTTAATATAATTTATTTATCCCCGGTAAAAAACGTCATATCGCACCAGACGAAAACACGTGTAATGGGCAACTCTATTGTTAAAATAGAACCTGGCGGCAAACGAAAAATATCCCGAATAATGTACGCAATTGATAATTTTCGTCGTGTACCTTCAATACTATCGTGGAATTGATGCATAGTATCAATATTGTGATTGTTTTTAATGTATTTAAGAAAGTTGTGTCCGATTTAACCGAAAGAAGGTTCTTTTAATCATCCTTCAAAGACCACTACAGAATGCCGGGAAAACACAAAATAATTTTGTTATTGGCTGGATGAAGAAAACTGTGAGACAAATACCACTATTATTGATCGGGAAAATAAGCTTTTTATGTGGTCTTTCTAGATCAAAAGAGATTGAAATTATTTTTTTATGTTAAAGGGGTCTAATTTATCGCTGAAGTAAGGGTTGTCAATGTAAACAAACATGTCGGCGAATTTGATTTCTCGTCTTTAAACAATAATATTTGTGCAATAGTTGAATATCAAATCACGGACGTTGATGATTTAGAAAGCCGATTTCAATAGCTCCGTGCTCGTATATAAAAGTCTATATATCTCCCAATATTGATGAAATGAGAAGTAATTTTCTCAAGGTTACTACAATTTTTTTCGAGAATCCAGTGGAGCCATCTCGATACGCGCGAAGTTATCACGTCACTCCTTGGTGGGCACACGGGTGGACGAAAGCTCATTGTCCAAATCGCTCTCGTTTGCGACGTTAAACACAGAAGACGACTCCCCCCTGCTGGGAGCCAATCCTCCAGCAATCCTCCTTGTATGAATAGGATTTAATGGCGCGAATACGGTAATAATGAATGAACAGTCACGTGACTGTTCAAGTAGCCTTATTTGGGCGACTCCCTGAAAAGTATAATCTGATTGGTTGTCATGTACCTCAATGACAGACGAGGCCAGACATGCCGAAGAGAAGTCGATGAAAAGTTCGTTCCGTTTTTCCTCATTTTCACCTGGATTTCCACTAAGGTAAGTGCTCATTCTTACAGATATTTGAACAATGTCACCGAGTTGTTATGATACTAATGTTTCAGCTTTCTCGTTTGTCAATTTCACGTGTAATTTGGGTTCAGAAAAAACACATGATTCCCGGCTTTCGCCCATTCATAAAACTAATTTAGCCTGTGTGTGTCATTTCTTTCAGGCGAATTTGTCAGTTTCTTGGACTCTGTTCATAATAATGCAATGTACAATCACTTTATCAATGAATACTAATGGAATGTTGACATTACAATTGTTTAACATGACAATATTCTTTTTCAGGAAACGTCAACCTCAGAGCAAAAGTTTAAATTTAAATTCATTTGAATTTGAGTTGTAAAAATATTCAAAATCCAAGATGGCTGTCATCAGTGCTATGAAATTCACATTTGTACTTCTTATCCTCAGTCTGGATTTGTGTTCCACAACTATAGCTAGAAAGTGTCCCGAAGGAATGTTCAGAAAAAATAGGAAATGTGTACAATGTTCAGACTGTCCAAAGGATCAAATAGTGCGCGAGATATGCACAGAACATAAGGACGTCGTATGTGGGGTTTATACCGAATGGCATCAGAACCAAAATGTAAATCCAATGCCCCAAATCAAAGTAAAGTCCCCAGCACCGACGGAAGTATCGTCTACTTCGTCCAAAAACAACCAAGCAAACGTCATTGTAAAAGGTAAATTTTGAATTTTTATTGACCAGTAAATGTTCAGTGAAAAGAAATCAGAGTAATGTACGTGTCAAAACAATAAATGTCTAAAGTTCCATTTGTTTCTGTTATTTTATTTGAAAATTTATTTGAATTTATTTGAAAATGTTACATATTTTGTAATGATGAATGGATACATAATTATTTTTAATTTAATATTCAATTTTATTGTAGGTGATGATGATTCACAGTATTGGAAGATATTATGTTTTGGTCTTATCGGATCCCTAGTCATCATTACGATGTTCTTCACACTGTACATCATATTATTACATCTGCGGTTCAGAAAGGTCCAAACAAGGGATAAATACAGGCAACCAGGTAGGCGTCTATTGTTTTGATCATCTTATAAGAGGCTTATCGCAGTCAAGCATCACATATTTCTCTTTTCAAACTTTCTTCCTCCAAACTCGAAGGAGGTTATTCAGTCTACATAAAAACTTTTTGTGATATTAGTCTGACAGAAAACCAGACTTAAATTTTCATTTTATGCCAGATCAACCAAGATAGATACACATAGTGACATAACTGTGTTTTTGTTAGGATTTTCATGTTTTACTAATTATAAGGATGGTTGAACACCTTCACGCATTCTGAACTCGGATCATTACATTATATCTCATGGGAGGTGAAATATCCAAACCTAAATCTTGAATTTGGCAAGGATTTCAAGTTTATTCAGCAGCTGAATACAGAAATGATATCTCTATGAAGTAATTGAATTGAAAGCATTATATACCATCAGACAAATCATTGTTTTCTGCAGTCTTTGATGTTTAAGATATGACCTAACTGGCGCTTAAATCTTCCTCAAAGTACAAGAGTTTCATTCATGCTTTGAGAAACTCATTTAAATGGTAATCATATTGAATTATTACCTCATAAACTTTCACAGAATAAGGGCTGCTTCATTTTCATTTAACATTATTTAAATTCAATCTTGATAATGAGTATTCAGTAGATACAGTTCCATTAAATATATTCCTCATTAAATTTCACAGCGATTTTATGACCAAGACCACACTTGAGAAAATTGAAGTAGATGATTACATCTTGATGCTGGACTTATGGATTGGTCATAGGGCTCATGTCCAAGATAGACAAAAATGATTGTTTATTGCCAAGTGTTTTCAAATTCAGAAATCGCAAAATAAATCAGTCGTTATAGCAATGACCATGGGCATTTGAATGATTGAAATGGGATATTGAGATTGTATTCTAAAGATTTCCATAAAAGTATCAAAACACCAATCTTTGGAACTTTGTTATCAGTAGTAGTATTGACCCTCAAGTCTTAGCAATTAAAATCATGAAAAGCTTCTCACATTCAAAAGAGGTGGTCAAATGAAGCCATCTGTGATGTACCTATTATAATAGTAGAGTGAATTTCTATAGCATCTATTGGGCGTTTTATGTAAATTTTAACCCGGTGGCATTTTAGACAATGTAAAGTGACCCTTTGACCAAGTCGCTAAATTAAGCCGGAAATAGAGACAAAGGGAAAAGACAATAATAATACATCCACAAGCTTTGTTTTAAATACAGCGGTTGACCACTTTCCCTGAGTTCCCTAATAATCTGAAATCATCAATTGGAAGTTCTAGTAAGACTTACAATTAGCAAAACAGAATTCAGATGAATGGGTGTTGAAACGTGGTTTGAAGTTTTACTATGTATGCGAGGAATTTGAACTTTGAATTGAAATGCTTTATGAATTTAATTTCTTGTTTGGGCAGGTATAGTCGAACACACCGTCTTTATCAAATTTCCATTCATGAATACTTCAGATATAAGTTCTTTTCACCTCGTGCCGCATACTTATCTCGGGCGAATGTTCAAAGTCCTTTTGAATATTTCTTTACTCAGCATTTTGTGAATGGAGTTAACAATAAAAAATTGCTTATATTGTAATTCTAAAGTGGCGTTTAAGACCAACCTTTATACCTATAGGGATATTAGTGTTCTTAGGTTAACATACCTTGCCCTAATTGAAATACAATCAGTCTAATTTTTAAATGCTTCTAATCTTTGAAGTTCGATTTTTGGTTATAATTTTGATTTAAATACATATTATTAGAAATAAGCATGCTTCGTTAAAACCTGCTCTCTTAAAATAGAGCTCATTTTTCTGAGTATTTTTTATGGGTGGTTCCCGCAAATTGAGGACTGTTTAGCGTTTGAATGTTTGAATAGGCGATTTCATGTAAACTTTATAACCTCGGCATACAACTTTTGAATTGCTTCGTCAACAATGCAGAGGATTAAAAATGGGGAAGCTATTTTTTAGGCTGATGAAATAAATTACTATGCATGTTGGATTTCCCGTTTTTAAAAAGCATGTCTGGGGCACTTTGGCCTCCATACGTTTATGAATAGACATACATATTTCTGTATTTGCTGTCAGAACTTAGTTTATAACTTCAAAAAATCTTGCTCGTTTCATCTGCCATAAATTATTCATATACATTAGCTATCAAATAAAATATTTAATGAGAAATCTTTATTTATTCTTTTCAATCTCAAATGTAAAAAATATATGGACTTGAAAAATGTGAGGTATAAAGTGAAAGTTAAACCATGATTTTTATTCAGGTGGTTATAATGATGAAAAACAAATTAATTTTACATGATTAGACCCAAATTCAATTTATATGCGGCAAATTGAAAACCTGAATAAGATTTTTATGAAAAGGGAAAGATTCGTAGATTTTGTGAGAAATAATTACTGCAAGATCCACTTGGAGACGTATGTCCTTAAATTTAATTCAAAATCAACTTAAAACGAACAAATTGATATTAAATTTGCTCATAGCTTCAAATAAATCCATGAATTGTTTACTTTGAAATTCTATTCTATCAAAAACTTTGCCATTTTGGCCTCAAACCAATATTGAAGTTTAATGAATAAATACTGCGATAATTCTTGTTCTACCTATTTGGGGTGTGTACTAGAAAAGTCCAGAGCGCGATGACATTACTTTAGTCAACCCCCCCCCCCCCATCCCGCCACTTAAAAAGGTTAGCTCTTAAGATTTTAGAAATCTTGAAAAATGAATGTTCTTAGTGATAAGTAACTTCACATGTCATTCTGAGATAAATCAATTACAATTTTAACTTGGGACACAAGCTCTCTGTGTCAGTGATTTTTGTCAATTAATTTTAACAGAGAACGCATAAAAGTCTCTTGTTTCTCAAACCTAAGGAGTAGAGTGTTGTTGTTACAATGAATTAAGATAACAGAGTTAGATGAACAGTAAACATGGCTGGTTTTTGGGACCAGTTGTTTAAATTTTGAAAATAAGGATTATTTTTGCTGAATCATGTTTTCAAATCACATAATATTTTTGAGCCTAGAGAAGAAGTCGATGTCTATTTTCATTAAAATAAATAATATTCTATAGTAGCTGAAAAACATTCCTTCTTATAGCTTCTAAATGAGAAAATTTGATCAACTGGTCCCTGTTTTGGGTAAGGCTTGTTAAGAGATAACCTAAGATACCTGTTATCATGGGGGTCTAATTAGTAATCTAAGACCCCTTTATTCTCCCTGTACATCAAACAATTTAAGACAATTACTGATTATTCTTGTGATAAAAATGAAGGTTGTCCGATTGAATTATTTCAAATTATTTACAGTTTCAAAAAATAAAGAACTGTTTGTCTAAGGGGAACTTTAATTAAACATAGGTAACTTTCATAATCTGTTGCTTTTGTGATTGAATTTCATTGCATTTTTAGATATTGTTATAATGTCATTGAGTTGAATAGCCCTTTATGCTAACATATCTATCAATGTAAATTGATAAGTTACTAGATATGAAAATAAACAAATAAATACCCAATAAGTTGAAAAGTTCATACATTTAATTTGCCATCTTAAGATAATTCATAAATCCCGCTGTCTGATTTAAAAGCCTGTCAAGAAATCGTTAATGTCACAGACTTGGTGTTAATGTTAAAACAATATTTTGGAAATAAAGTGAAAGTTGAAACCAACTCAATTATCACCGACATCAAACAGACATCATTTCTAAAACTAAGAATGCAGTTTTTTTCCCAAAGTTTGGAATACATGAAATTCCTAAAAGAAAACAACAAGCTGTCCTTTTTGACACATGTAGCTGCTTCATAATCCTGAAAACCATATCCCTTAGGTGGGAATACCACCATTCGAAAGCACTAGGAAATATGGCATAAATTCCTGACCCAAACCTCAAGAAATGCTTGTAAAGTGCAATTAAGCCACAAAATAGAAACAGTTTTATTGCTCCACTCTAGGTATATACAGAGTGCAAAGTCAGTGCGATTTGTAACATTCTTCTTTCTATTTGTGGTGTTCAATGGTGGAGTCCCCACTGTTTCTCGTTTTGTATTTGAGCATTCATAGCATGTTATTTGCCTAATTTTTCACAGTTAGAGTGCCTAATATTGTGATTTCATGCCATTTTTTCTTTTAATAAATACGTAAAAAGAATTATTGAGTTATTTTAATGAAATATAGATTTTCTTTCATTTCATTCAAACTTATAGCCACCTCGCATCAAGAATGGGGGGGGGGGGTGAATTTGCTAACTTTGTTAATATTTTGTTTGTTTGTTTGTGAATATTTGGGTGGATAGACTTGCACTATGACTAGTCCATTGAGCCCCCTCCTCTTCCTGACTGGTTACTTAAAGAAAAGTGGGATACCATATGTACACTGAAGAAGGATGTTGTTAGTGTTGAAAGTACTACCACAATGAGACAAACTAATAATCAACTTTTCATTTGGTGGTTTTGTGCCATTTGTCAAATACATAAATACTCCTGTCCAATTGCTTTAACATGGAAGTTCAAAATAACATTTCTTTTTTTGTTGTTGAAATAAATATTTGAAATACTTCACAAAGGATACCCCGTTAAAATTACAGATAGAATTTCTTAAGTTCCTCAAAACAATGTTTTGGTTACAAGCAATTGGATCAGACCTCCCATCTTGCTTGTATTGTTTCGTATTTTTCTTTTCTTTTTTCTCAAACTCAAGTAACTTCAAGATTGTATTTTTCCCATGTGATGAGAGTTGGGAATTGATATATTTTACAGCTTAGGTGGTGTTTCCTCCTAACATGGTCTACTACTTCTAATTGGTAAGATATGATGTGATATCTATTCCTTATACTTGTGCCAGCTTGCTATCTTAGATTTCAAACTAACTTGTTAAAGTCACTTCTCATTTCCTATTACATCATTTCGTATCAGCGCCATTGCTACCTGGTCAGACTCCTCGATGAAATTATCATGGCAGCTCCACCCAATTTTGATCAGTTTTTATCTTCAAACAG